TACGAGTCCACGTTACACAGGGCGAACTTCTGCGCAGAGATAAACAGACGTCTTCACCAGCAAAGGAAGGGCTGTGACGTGCCCTGAGAACCTCAGGAGGAAGATCCAATGCAGTCCTCAGAATTCTGTCACGACCGTACCGAGCAGGTGGATCTGTCCTTAAATCTGTCAACTGCTACTTCAAAGATGGCCCCGCTAGTGGTCTGGGGTTCACACGGAGATTGCAGATCCTGGAGCAGCGGCCCCGTGGCCAGCGGTGGGGGGGGGGACACCCAGCTCACACCCCACCCCGTCACAGTGACCTGCAGGGCCAGGGGAGGGCTCTTCAGACAGATGGTGATGCCCTGCAAGACGTGGGCCCAGAAAGGGACACGTTCTAAAAGACTCCGTCAGGCCGACAAGAATCACCTCCCGGAGGACCGCCTTTCCCAGGTCCCTCTGCGCGCGGCTGGCAGGCTCACTGTATTCTGGGCCTTTCTCAGTGAACAGGAAACACTGCCGGGATATCCGGGCCACGTGGGAAAATACTGCTTAAGAAAGAAACTGGTCCATGACACACATCACAAGGAAGCACAAGGCCCTGGCTGGGTCAAGAGCTCTGAAGGTCCAGATGGTCCCCCTTCCAGCACGAATGCAAACGTCACCCACGTTTTTATCAGGAGAAGGTAGCTCGTGCTATTTTCCTTAGAAACTGACAAGGATTCCTAAAGATTCAGATGTGGGTACCACGTGTGCAGAGAGCAAAAGGCTCGCTCAGTCCCTTGGAAAGAGATGCAGGCAGATGGCTCAAGACCACTCCATTCCCGAGGGCTGAGGGTTCCCACCATCAGCAGCTTTGTGCCCAGACAGCCGCCGCGTCAGGGTCAAATCGAGAGCTGTCAGTGCGCGTCCATCAGCACTGTCTGAGACACAGCATTTCTCCCGAGGCGCTAGCTAACGAGACAACAGGCTGGAAACGGTTTTGATGCAACAGCACTTCAGGAAGATTAAATCCTGTGTCTTTTCAATCATTTTGCATCTTCCAGCTCCTGAGGCAACCCATCTACATTCTGTGTTTGCAGCAGTAAGTTCTTCAAGTGACACATACAGTAGAATCACAAGGCACGTCCACCTAGGGAAGAAGTGGGTCGGGGTGCAGGGGCTGTTGTGCAGGTGCTGGAGTTCCCGGGACGCAGGAGCCAGCCCGTCACCCAAGCACAGAGCCTCAGTTCCGTCACCCGGAAGACAGAACAACAAAACCAGCTGCCTCTGCAGAGCTGTTCTGAGGACTAACTGAAAACTGAACATTTCATAGATCTCTTCTGTCAAACGAAACCGTAAATATAAAGCCTGAAATTCCATTAGGTAGCGACTGAGTCAGGCCACTAAACCCGTGAGACCAGGTCACCAGCGGCGTGTGCAAGATGCCACCCTTAACGTCTGCAAACACGCAAAGCCACAGGAGAGAGTGGCAGCGGACCACAGACAGGCAAGCACGAGAAGGTTCTGTCACAGACAGGATGTACTGAGAAGTGCCACCGATGGATGTGATGGTGAGCCGGGGGGCTGTAGACAGATTCCTGCTCAGCCTGCACAGAAACCCATGGGGTGCCAGTTACCTGCCTGGTCTCAACACAATGTCCTTTTCTAAAATGACGGGAAAGATCCGACAGTCGTCAGTAAACACCAAAGGAACATCCTCCAGCCAGGTTTATAAAGAAGTTGGCTGTTTCTATAAAAACAGAAGTTTTAGAAAGTAGAGCTCAAAGACCACTTTGGTATCTGTCCAGCTGTCGCGGAACTTTTCTCTGAGTTGCTTGGCTCGGAGAAGCCACTCGGCAGCACCACCACCGAAGGCAGTTCTGCCGCTTGTCTCAGAACCTCCGAAAGGGGCCGAGACCCAGATGGGCGCATTCATGAAGCTTCCATCGCACTCCAGGCCTGTGCTTTCTCAACACACAGTTGTGTGTTTCCAAGCGATAACTGGGATTCTGCAACACGTAATTTTGCAAAACGCTGAATGCTGTAGCCACCTCCTGGAGACTCACAGCGCACATCTAGCATGTTTGAGGCTTTCAGCAAAAATCCCCATCTAACTTCGGCATTTCCTAAATGTGTCCGAGTGCCCATCTATCAACGTTCCGCAGCATTCTGGACAACTGGGGAGTGCGAGACTGGCCCACAACCCCGCCTGTGTCTGTGAACACACGTGAATGCTGCTTGGCTCCGCTGCTGTTCAGCGTGGGGGTGAACATAATGAATAATACTCGTTGCCACCAACCCAGCAGCCACGGCCCCCCAACAAGCACGTGGCAGTTCTGCACCGCCACCAGCAGGGGTCGCCCTGCACCGCACAGCTGGAGGCGGGGCAGGAGCCAGGCGTGAGCTGGCTCAGATGTGGCACCCAGAAGCTGGAGCCATGCTTAGAACCCTGTCCCCTAAAGCGGTCACAGACCCCCCGGAGAACCGTGGACCTCAGTCTGAGAAACACAGAGGGACGTAACATCACTGTGGACAGAGGACTGGCCCAGGCAGCAAGCAGCAGGCCTCAGGCCCCGGGCGCGGTCCGGGCTGCCAGAGCACCACCTCCCGCCTGAGCTGATGACACGCGGCCCTCAGATCCGGGCAGCAGCGCTGTGTGCACACGCATGAGGGAGCTGGCTGGCCTGCACAAAAAGCCTAAAAACAGGAGGTTTGTCAGCAAAGAACATCTGCTTGTCTGGCCGGCGGCTGGTGCGTCTGCAGACTCACATGGCTTCTCCAGTTGGTAACCTTCCTGAGGTCTGCATCTCATTATACTCAATGGCAACTTAAGCAACTTTCAGAATGAAACAAAGTATTACACTAAGAAAAATCTACTTAATAAAATCTCTCTGAAAGGCCACTTTGTTATTTATGGCCGTAAGATTCGAATTCATTTTTCCTGAAACAAAACAGAACACAAGGACCCCCTTCAGAGGACAACGTGCATGTGAACATCACTGGTCCTGGCCCTGCACCTGCCGAAGGTGCGTCTTTTCCTTCCTTCCAATCTTGCTGTTCCTAGTCAGCTGGACATGCACTTCACCACACAAAATTAAAACCTGACCTTCGTCTAAGTAAGAACGTCTACGGTTAGGCTTTTTTCCATTTATGCAGCCTCCTCCCTACCCCCTCCACCCCTGCCCAGAGGGAGAGAACTCTTTCTGAAAACAAATCTCCCAGTGATTTACAACTTGTTTTAAGAAAATTAGAGGGAAACAGATGAAATAAAAACGCACAAGGAATGATCCTGTATCATCCAGAACGTATTTAACCTAAGAACATGCAAGTTTTGCTGTCCAGGCAGATACGAAGCGCTCCACTGCCCGGCCCCCTGCGGAAGGCGCCACCTCAGACAGGCGGCTCGCACTGACCTGCGGGCTAGGCTGCTCCCCCCACCGTGTAACAAACAGTAAAAGCCACAGGCTAGCAAATGCAAAATTTATTTCAACTGTACATAACAGATGTCTTTTTTATAAAACAAACACTTCATTGCCATATGCAACCACAAACAATATGCATACTGTACAATACAATGCAACATTCAGGGGTACATCCAACTGAGTGTCCAACGGTGGTCACCCACTTACAGTGGCTTTCCTGTTCACAGATAAAAAACACAATATATAGATTTTTTCAAGGTCTTATACCACTATATACATGTCACTGTGTTTTGGCAATTTTAGGCAAAACACATACTTAATATAGCATATACCTGTGGCAAGTGTCGATTCAATGGAAACACCACTGAGGCCGTTTGCAAAGGGCCCAGTAACAGCTTAGACCTACCTCCCAGGTCAGATGCCTCACCCTTCCGTGGTAACACTAACCGTGCACATGGAGTTACAGAACTGCTTACACGTAAGATACTACTGTGGCATAACTCAAGTCCCACAGTGGGGAAGCCCCGGCCTCCGGATGCCGCGTCACCACCGCCACGTGAGAGCCGGGGCACCAATACTGCCAACCAGGTCACAAGAGCTCACGGTGCCAAACAGACAAACAGCCAGGCTGTTCAACAAAAATCAGTATCAAAAGGGCTTTAACTGGTACAAAAAAAGAATCATGGGAAAATGTCACACCTTTGGCGTAAAGAATACCAATGCAAACGTCTCATCGGGACAGCCCAAGTGACAGCCGGCGTCCAGAGGAACCCAGGGCGGCAAGTGCTGTGCTGCCGTGGGCCACACGGCACTGGCACAGACGAGCAGCCTGACCGAGGGCGGCGGCGGCAGGAAAGCCAGCACGCATCGCGGCCTCCGAGCAGACGAGTCAGCGACAAGCGCCAGAAAAGCGGTCGTGGACCGCCTGACGCGGTGTGAAGGAAGCCAGAACTGCCTCACTCGCTGCGAGGTGGCAGGCGCGTGAACTCTGCAGTTACTTCTCCCACCACTCCGTCTGCGATCTGGCTGGACGCAGACAGACCCCTCTCCAGCGGGGTCAGCACTGGGCTCTAACTCGGAGGGCTGCTCCTCAGCTTCCTAGTCGCATGGATTGTTTTAAAAGCGAACGCAACTCCCCAAAGTGGGCAGCTCGGCAGCCACTGGGAACAGATAGGCATCCGGAGGGGCCGCTCTCCCAGCGCCTCCACTGCGCGGTCCTGGAACCGCGGGCTGTCTGAGCGGCACGGGAGGGTGCCGGCACCGCGGGGCCGTGAGCAGCGGGGCCAGCTCCCAGGACACGAGGGCCGAGCGCGCCAGAGTCGTCTCTGCGCTAACGAGGGCAGAGCACTGAACACACGGGCCGGGCTCAGGAGGTGCGGTGGGAGCAGAGGGTCACGGCCACCCTGAAGAGAGGAGAAATCATTACTCCCAACTGATCATGGCATCTCGTTTTCTGAAGCTGGTTTCAGGGCGTCCTTAACGCTGAGCCCTTCGCTCCCATGGAACCCCAAGGAGAGCACGCAAGGGAGCACACGCTCCCTCCCCCAGCAGTGACCCGTGTGGACCGCCACGTGGCACTTTCAGTTCTTGCCGAGGCAGAAATCAGTCTGAGTGAGGGCAGAGAAATTACCTTACAACAAATCCCAGGAAAGTGGGGGCGCCCTCAGATGTGAGATGTTCTTGTAAGTTGAGTTACATGGCAGCTGAGTAAGTTGCAGCCAACTGAACCCCCCACAACAATCAAGGGTGGTCCCATTCCACTGGGTGGTTGCAAGTGGTTTCCCTGCAGCTCGCGGCTGAAAACACACACGTGTCCGTCACAGGCAGTGAGTACAGATGTGGGCGGTGGGGCGCGGCCCCGCTGTGACTGAGGCCCAGCCCTCTCCCTCTCAGGCACGCACACCAGATGCCCCTGTGACACAGCCAGAACTACACGCTCAGAGGCTGGACGCTAGTCCTCCAGTGGAGTGGTGCAGGCCTGCCAAGTGACTTTAATGAGAAATTACTCCAACTGAGGAAGGTGTGGTGCGATGAGTGGGTGTCTGGGCTGCGGGGAAGCGGGGACACGGGAACACACGGTGGGGGTGTGGACAAGCCCTCCCGCTCCTGCCCAGAGATACAGCAGCCACGCCAGCAAGGGCTCTCTGTGGTCACACGGCACCCTGCAGAGGCCCGGCACTCGGCCGTCTGAACTGGACTCAGGACTCCAGACGCGTTTCTTCTCATCTCTCCTGCATCGCTGTGTCCAGGACACATAAAACTTAGATCCCTGCACAGAAGGCCAGGGTGCCTTCCGTGTCGCTGGCACTTATATCACAAACCTTTGTGGTTTCAGTATAAAATACAAAAGTGTTCATACAGCTGATCTAAAAAAAAATGAGACAGGTGCTACATGGGCAATAAAAACCCAACCCTCTGGGGCTGCAAACCAGCACTGAGAGAAGACCCTCAGGTCGAGGCTGTGTGCGCACAGGGTCCCCTTCCACGGTCAGGAACTTGGGTGGACACTCCAACAGGCAGTTAAGCCTCCACAAAGTACAATGGGAAATAGCAGAAACGCTCTCCAAAGTTGTTAAAATATCACATAAAAGAGACAAGAAACAGCAAGAAAACATCTAAGAAAAGCAGGCTGCGGTACAAGCATCGTTAAGGAAAGCTCAGAAGTGCGTTAGTTCTGGTGAGAGATATATGAGCAACAGCTCTTACGAGATGTAGAACCCATCCTGTAACTATGGGCTGTCCATATACTGTCATAGTCAGAGTCTTCCGAGGGGTCTGAAGGCTCCAAGCGGGAAAGGCTGCTGCGACGACCCAGGGAGTCTAGGCTTGACTGGTCGTCGTCAGCCAAGACGTGATTATGCATCAGGTCAGTGCCTTGCCATGCTAAGACGGGGGGGGGGGCAGACAGGGGACAGGCAGAGGAGGGGAGAGCAGAAGGACGGCAGGGGAGCCACAACCAAAAACATGGAAACAAAAGCAAAAGGTGACGGGAAGAGAAGGGAAAGAGAAAATACTGTTACAAATTGGCAACAATGTTCACTTCTCCTTATTTATGGCTGGGTTTTAATAACGAATTTATTAATTAGCACAACCTTTAGAATAAAACTAGAGCAATTATTTAAATAAACCTGAATCATGATACTGTTTCCAGAGTGCTCCTTGTTTAAACCTACTGCTATAAAGTGCTCACTTATTTTTTTTTAACAAACCAAGCCCGTGTCCACAAGGTAATTCTAAAGACATGCGACAAGTCAACCAATTCTGCTACACATTCGATCAACAGTCTCATTTAGGACATTATTTGTGAAAGGCACCATTTATGGGCTTAATTAAAACCTATTCCCCATTCATGAAGTGGATGCACTGGGTGCAAAATCCTTCCACGGGTTTCGGGCTCCTTTCTCCAGCTGTCTGCTTCCCGGGCTGTAAATCTCCTGACGTCATCTTACCAGCGGGGTCTAAACTTACCTTACCCAACTGTGACGCCTATGACAAGTTCAGGTGGAGAAAGGGGCGAAACAGGGCCCCCCGGCCTCTGCCCGTCACTCCTCCACCTGCAGAGTGAGCCTGTCTCCCCTAGGGCTCGCCGGCACTCGGCCAGGGAGTCTGTGCAAACGCCATCGACCCCCTGGGACAGGAGGCTTGAGCAGGCAGCGCCGCTCTGTGAGGAGGACGGCAGGAGGAAGCGGGCACGAAGTGAAGAACAGAAACGAGCCCATAAGTGGCTGGCGACTGCGAGCGACGAGGCTGGCCGGGCAGCTGTGGGTTGGGGTGCAGGCTGGAATGGGCCAGGAGAGGGTGCTGGGGTCACACTTGGGGGGCACCAGGGGCCCCTCTGGCTCCGTTCTGTTCCTGCTTCTGAGCAAAGGTTGACCCATTCCCAAGACATAACAAGAACAGGCAGTGGACCAGCCTGGGTCCCACCGACCAAACCCTACCGTCTGTGAAGCCACGACACCCTGAGAGAGAAATCAGCACTCACGATGCCTGGCCGAGCGTCTCCTCGGCGTCCACACACCCTGAACAGCACTGAACGTCAGGCGAGATGGGAGAGAGCTGCTTTCACCCAGCCCCATTCCTGGGTGTCTTAAATACACACCTTCCCAGCACAAGGGATCCGTTTCCCCCTCCTGCCTGCTCTTGAGAACGTCAAGTTTAAGGCCATATGTGACTGTAAGCCCTCCAAAGTCCCAGAGTGGTAGCCCATGATGTCATTAAAAACAAGAATCGGCGTGCTGCCCAGTGCTTCTCCTGCGCAGGTGCAAGGTGGTGAGGCCCACACCCGCCCCGGGCTACCCTGCCGGCAGCCACGGCACATCCGGGCATTGTCTCCGCGACAAAGAACCTCAGCTCACGCAAACACACACACAGCTCAGATCACCTAGCCTGTTCACCTGAGCCCAACAAGTTCAAATTTTATTTCAAACAATTGAAGTTGAGGTGAGTAATTTTTTAAAAATCTCAAATTCAAAACCCAAAGAACTATGGTCACATTTTTAGCCTATTACTTAAAAAACAATTTTTCTTACCAAATATATGAAACTGTAATGTCTTAAAACAACAACAGCCTGTATTCACAAATCATCGCTCAGTTCTCAGCAGACCCACCGCACAATCAGGCCTTTCCACTTTTCTCCTGCTCTGCTGACCAGACAGAGAACGGACCAGAAGTCTGAACATCAGAGGTGGGACATGTACAACACCAGCCTTAAAGAAGGTTCTAGATCATCTGCAGATTCCACCCAGGGTTTAATCCTACTAGCCCTGTCCTCATAGCCACAGTCATCTTTAACACAAGCCAAAGCGGTTGAAAATTCCTTCTCCCACCTGTTTTTCCCCCCAGAGTCAGTTTACAACAGACAACCAACACTTTGCAGGCGGTGAAAACGAGGTGAGCGCTTCGCCAGAAGTCGAGACGGAAAGAGAACCAAAACTACCAAATCTAACGGAAACCAAGTGTTTAAGTTGGAAGTGACATGTAAGTTGTCCAGTATGAAAGAAGGGGGGAGGGGCGGGAGCCCCTCTCTCCTAAGCAAACCGCACGCACGGCCACACCTGCCGCCACCCTGCGCTCCGCTCTCCACTGCTGGGCAAGTTAAAAAAAAAGAGCCCAGCTTTCTACTGTTCACACAACAGATTAAGCTTTTTCCACTTAAGACGTTATGCATAAGATGCAGGTAAGTTCAGTGGCACTGAAATCTACCAACACATTCACTGGTGTCTGTTTCCAAAAATTTTTAAGTGTGACCGTTTTAAAGAGGGTGGGGGCTGCTAAAAGAATTCTTACTCTAGGCTTTATTTTTGACAATTCTATAAAGCCAAAAAAAGAAAAAAGGAAAATTCCACCACCACACTCGTAGTTTAAACAGCTTAAATAGCGGAGCTGAATGAATCTCCGTCTTCGAACACATGCTCGCTAAGCCAAAGAGAGCTTCACAATTCCTCGCAGGACCTGATCCTCGCAGGTTTCCCAGTGGAACATTCTCTAGAAACCGGTCATTTTACTGACAGCTCAAACCCTTCCCAATGACTGAGGGATGCTGGGGGGAAGAAGCCATGCCCTACGTTGCCAGGCCACGGAAGCACCCTTATGGGGGACCATGCTGTTGAGCCTGCACGCGGCCCAATGGCTGTTTCCTTAGATCACGACCTGAAGCAAAAGGAAGCACCATGAGCCCCGGGAGGCTCCCGGGAAACTTACTTGAATTGAGCGTCTGCCGCGTTTTGGCGCTTGTGCAGTAAGCCTCGATGACTTTCAGAATCTGGGCGTCTTCCTCCAGCGCAGCCGTGCCTGTCCGGGGACACACGACACGTCACGGGGCAGAAACCACTGCGACAGCTCACTAAGTGAACGCTGATCAACTTGACCCACAAGGGCGACAAGCAGCCATCTCCCCTTTTGTTTTCCTGTCGGGTAACTGTTTTCCAGTAGTCATAAGACAGTTATTCTTAAAAGCGTTTTTACTTTTTCTATGTATTTTTTCTCTGCAATGTATCTGGCAAAGGATTAATACTCTAAATGTATATAAATTGTCTTAGTAATCCACAAGAAAAACAGTATACCCCTCAACCTGTGAGAAAAGGCTACAAACAAGAACAATTCAGAAGAGAGCACAGAACGCAAAAACATTCATTCTCACCAAGAAGTGACAATTAAAACGAAGAACCACGTTTTCACATTCCAGCCTGACAACAGACAGAAAGCACGACAGTCCTCAGTGTGGACGTGAGCGTCAGAAAGGAGACCCCTCCACCCACATTTGGGGGGCGGAGACGGGGACAATCCTCGGAAAGGCCACTTGACCATATTTACCAAAGGCTTTAAAAGAAAGGAGCATTTCCTCTGATCCAAATTCCTAGTGGAGACTTAATCCAGGAAATCTAGAGACAACCTGCAGCTTGAAGAAGTCACTCCAGATCCTGGCTTCGTCCAGGCTCAGGGGTCACAGGCATGGCAGGGTGGAGCCTTCCAGACTAAGGGCATCTCACCGGTTGTCTGCGGACAGGGCACACCCCCTCACACCCAGCACACGCCATGCTGTCACATGGTTAAACTCTGTGACCTGCTTTTGTAGATTCTTCTACAGTTTCTAAGATGTTACTTAAATACTTACTTTAAAAAGCCCAGCTACGCTCACACAGCCACGTGGGGAGAATGGAGTCACTGTATCAAGAAGCCTCAACACCATTTCATGATTGTAAGATGGACACATGCAAGGCGGGCCAAGTACTCCTGACTGAAGATGAATTTCAGCACCAAGAGCTTATTGAGAAACGGACTTGAATTTCACGAGCTGGGACCAGTCGCTGAACAGGTTTCCGTAATAACATTTAACTAGCTTCCCTCCAGGACACGCTGCAAGGAAACTTCCAGGGCAGGTCACCCTTCTGCCTGAGGAAAACGACCTCTGAGCGACAGCAAGGGTCCAGCTGGTGTGATCGGATTGCTGTTTTCAGGCGGGACAGGCACACTCGCGTCACGCAAGCGCAGGGACAGCACGACAAGGCCAGGAAGGGCCGGCCTCCCAGGACGCTGTGCTGAACGCCCTCCCAGAGCCGCCTCCCAGCACAGGGCTCAGAGACAGCAGGTGGACAAGAGGACAGCACGCAGCTTCTATGTGGCAGACTGTTCCACGAACTAGGAAAATCTCTAGGGCCCTGAACGTCACAAAGGTGAAAATCACTTAGGAAATCAGAGTGTAACCCAAAGCTATCAAGTTCGCTAAATACTTGCCACACAGGCACGAGCTACAGAGGGCATGCAGGCGAGAGCTCTCCCCCAACTCACAGAAAACTCCGGTCCCTCCTTCAAGTCTCCTCTGCCAGCTCACCTAAGACTCTCCCTGTCTTTCTCTTCCATCTATTCAGTCTCACAGCTTGAAAAAAACACAGAAGCGCGGAGAACTCGGGACTTTCCACCACCAGCCCAGCCCTTCCCCGGGGCCTCAGGCCCTGGGCCTCGCTGCCTGCTCCTCATCTGGCAGGTGCGCAGGCTGAAAGCCTCACCCTCTCACGCCCTGCATCTGACCCAACAGCACAGCCCAGGCGCCGCACTTCTCAGCCCCAGCGCTCTGGACACGTAGGGTCAGCTCGCTCTCTGCCAGGGGGCTGGCCCAGGCGGGACGCTGCCGGGTGCTGAGCACCAGCTCTGGCCTCTACTCACTGAGGGGCGGCAGCACCCTCACCCAACTGTGGCAACCGAAAACGTCCCAGTCACCCCTAAGTGCCTCCTAGGGGCAAAGCTGCCCTCGTTAAAAACAACGCCGCAGGCTACAGCTCAGAGGAGTCTGTCCACGCTCCCCTGGATGTCGTCCTCACCTGGACCACGGCGCAGCCTCCCACCTGGTCTCCCTGACCCACTGCCGCTGCCCTGCCTGCTCTCGAGGCAGGGATCAGTTGTCCTAAAATACCCAAGCCAGCCCCAATGAGCCCTCTGTTCACAACTGAACTGAAACTGTCGGTTCACTCAAAGCACGTCTGGGACCATCTCTCACTGTTACCCTGGGGTCGGTGCAGGGGTCCCTGGAAAGAACCGTGGGGGTCCTGCCTGGGGGTCCCTGCAGTCCATGCCTGGGAGCTCTCCCCCAAAGACATCTGCTCCACTGGCCTCGTGGCCCCTCCCCTCCCAAAACACCGGCAGCCTCCCTCCCCGCACTTCAGCACTTCACCGCAACAGGGCTATCGTTGGCCTGGCTTGGCTCCTGCTTCACCACGGGAGGGACCCCACGGGGCAGGGGTTCACTGGTACACAGGAGGGCACTGAATCCCATCTGCCAGGGAGCAGCCGGACCCCACACTCACTCAGCGCCTGCGCACACAAGGCGCTCAGCACGGCTGCAGGAGGAAGGGTCCATGAGGCACGGTCTGCAGCTGCACGTGGGGAGCTGGTGTTCAGCCCAGGCGGGACCCTCCGCACGGGAGCGGTGGGCCTCACCCTGGTTTCATCGGGGGTCCGGGGGTGCTGCACTGCTCTGCAGCCCCCATCTGAGGGAAACGGCCGTCAGGACGGCAGGGCTGTGGCTGCTACAGGGACCTCAGGGACAGGCGGGGAGGGCTCACCCTGAGAGGCCTGCAGGCCGTGACCTCCCCACGGCTGCCATCCCCTACACTGAGACGGGGAGGTCCCACCCGCAGCCACCACACCAAGCCACCTCCTTCCTCGGGCGACAGCTGACGTGGGCTCCTGGACTTCTGACTAAAGCCTTCTTTTGGCAATGAATCTCTGAGGGTCCCAAGTGGCTGTGCAGGGGACGAGCCAAGCTCCAGAAATTCACAGAGCCTGGTGACAGCCGTGGGGGCGGGGAGCGAGCAGATGCAGAAGGCAGCAGGAAGGGCCAGCTCCCTGTGAGGGTCCCCCCACAGCTCCCTGTGGGCAGGGAACTCATCCCTGAGGACTGCTCTCCTGGCACCACTGTCAGCCCAGCACCTTTGTGTGCGGGGTGCCCTGGGGGAGGCCAGAGCTCAAGTCCACGAGCCTTGGGCATCTCACAGCTTCTCCTGGGAGAGATGGGGCCCGCAGTGGAGGCCCTCCAGGTGGAGGTGCCCAGGGCAGGGGACCCGCACAGAGAGCTATCTCGGGGTGGGGGTTCGGCACGGACCCGTCTCTCCTTCCTGCGGGCAGCGTCCGTGCTGTTCCCACCCCGCACCCTGGCTGCCCCCGCCGCCCCCACCCCCCACGCGGGTTCGCTCACTTTTCCTCAGGGCGAACTCCTCATCCGAAGGCTTCCGCTCAGGTTTGCGCTTGGGGAGCAGCTTCTTCATGGTCTTGGGGCTCTTACTGAGATCCTGGGAAGGAGAGGGAAGCGCTGACACACCCCGCGGGGAAGGGGGCGGCTGTGAGGATGGGGCTTCCCACCCCATCGCGCTCTGACTTCCCAGAGCCGCTGGAGAAGCATTAACTGGAAACAAGCAGGGCGACAGGCTCGGCGCCACCAGCACAGGACATCACCCCGGAGGCGAGGCGGGCTGGCAGCGCCAGGACAGGGAGAGGCAGCTGGCCGCCGCCTGCACAGGGAGCCGCGCCTGTGGTTCCGGGGTGGACCCACCTGCTGCAGCCAACCGGAAAGAGAGGAGGAAACATAGGCTACTTCTTAAGGAAGGTAAGTAAACACAACCCCTTCAGGAAAACATCTGAAGCCTCAAGGGACGGGAAAAGGGGGTCAGATCAGCCCCTGGGCTCGAGCACAGAGGCGCACAGACGACACGAGCCCAGAACCGTTCAGCGGCGGGTTCCCAGCGCAGTGGTCTACCCTCACCTCTGCAACACGTCTCCTAAAAACCGAGCAGAAGGGGGAGGCAGAAAACAGAGCAGGACCAAGCCCAACGACCACGGCAGGCAAGGAGGGCAAGCTCTTGATTGTCAGGATGCACTGAATAGCCGTATCAAAAAAAGGCAACCTGCTGCATCACTTAAACTGCATAAAGCACTGGTGAACCTTTGGATGAGAAACCAAGAAGCAGAAGGTGCCCTGGGCTATGGGATGGATCAGATGAAAAGCACAGAGAGAGCAGGGCCCAGCTTCTAAAGGCATCTCTTCAACATCATCTCTGTGAAAGCAGGGATTTCAAAAGCTCTGAAAACACAGCAGGAATTAGTCCCCGAAAAAGTAAATGCAGCATGAGCCCTAGACTTCCCCGAGTGCAAGGGACGGAGGTGGAGCAGGCAGAGCACCGGTGGGGGAGACCACTCCTGACCGGGGCTCCGAGGTGCCCCGCCACACCGGGCACATTCAGTGCCACACCTCTCCAGGCCTTTCTCTCTCTCCTCTGCCCCACCGCTCCCCGCTAGGAACGAAGCCCGCACACCTGCAGCTCTGAGCTGGGGAGTAACAGTAGGGCACTCTTCAAGGAACCGCCCGGGGCAAAGACACTTCTGACTGGGCACAGGGCCACTGGCAAAACGTACTTCATAAAAACTAAAATTCATTAAGCGCAAGAAACAAAGAACTAATTATAGTTTATGTTGTGTTTTTCTATTTATCTTAAAATACTTAGGGCCACCAGCAAGGATGGAGGATCTGCTCTAGGTCCTTTGACAAATGCGGCCTCGTGAAGGCACAAACCAGGCAATGGTGCTCACCACGCTCACAGCCCTGCTCACGCTAGCCTTGCCCACAGTGCTTCAGGCCAAGCCCAAGTCCACCCCGAGCAAAGCCCGCTCGGGCACAGGCTCACACCTGTCATAGCCACACTCATTTCAATCGTCAGCTTCCTCAACGCGCAGATACTCTGCAGAGTATCTCCCGAGGCCCTTCCTCTTCTCCCCAGAAACGTTTCACCCTGCAGGGCACCCGTAGAAGCACTGTGATCTCTCTGGCACAACAGGAGAGCTGCCTTCATCCCCGTTTTGGGGAAGCCTTCTCTCCACCTCAGGGAGCTTCTGGGGACTCAATGCAGGCTCTGGGCAAGAGCTCAGAACACACACAGCAGAACAGCATGCACAAGGGCGAGCCCTCATGAACTGCAAGTCCAAAGCAGGTTCAGGCTCAGGGAGGGCCAGGAGGAGGCCCAAGGGAAGCCTCCCAGCTCCTGGGCCTGCGGCAGCAGGAGTCCAGACCGGGCCACGTGGGCATAGAGAGGCCCCCACAGCACAGAAAGCAGTCATGAGAGAACGAAGGCACACCCTTCACGGTTCTGAGGAAGCTGCCTGGTATTTTTATGTCACTGGCAGAAACATGGGATTTCCCACATTTCTCATTCACTGGGCTGAAACACAGAGCCACCAATCTAATGTGCCAGCCGCCCAGCCGGACCTCACCTCCTTGTAGCAGAGAGCCGCCGAGGGCCGGAGTGGGGGTGCGGGTCGCAGGCAGCTCAGGCTCCATGGCTTGGGGGTCTTCGGAGGCTCCAGGGGACCCCAGTTGATGGTGGTGTGAGGGGTGCCATGGTGGGAGGGGTGGGGCAGCGTGTGGTAGGCGGGCGTCAGCGGCACTGGCTTGCTGTCAGCGTGCTTGCTGGACGGGGTGATGGAGTGGGAGGGGAGCTGCCGGGATAGAGCAGACACAGCGTCACCGTCCCCATCAGAGGAGCCTCGACCCAACGCACACGCTTAGTTCTGCTAAAACCCTGCCGGTGAAACATGCCCCCACCACGGTTGTTATCGTTTCTCCTGCATCTCTGGCTCAGGCACTTGGCTTCCCAGCCACTTGGGCCGAGCAGGGAGCCACGGTCTCTGGTTCTGCTTCAGGTCAGGCCGAGCTCAGGTCAGTAGGAGCGGGGCTGAGGGTCCAGATGCAGAAACTGCCAGGGGCCACATTCACCAAAGGTACTTCATATTTCTGAGACTCAGATACAGAACTTTGTGAAAGAACAGGTATTCCCTGCGCTGGGGAGGTGATTCTCCCCAGTCCTATATTAATCCATTTCCTGGTGGTTTGGGGGGGCAAAACTAGGGCCTGATCTCTGTTTTTGAAAAAAAAAGAAAAGAAAATTTCCCGGGACACAGTCAGGCCCATTCCTCTCAATGGCTGCTTTTGCATCACAGAGGCAAAACAGCACTGTAACATTTGCCTAAAAAGCCAAAAACATTAACTATGTCTCTTTGCAGATAAAATCTGCCAATCCCTCGATAAGACATTTTCTCAGAAAAATCAGTTTTAATCAAAACAAAGTTATATGAATCTAATTCCTCAGAAGGATGTCATTAACGGAGCTTATATTCCTGGAAAACCCAAAAATATTCCATCCCACTGACAATTAAATGAGAAAATGTTGAATAAAATAAATAACTACTCAAAACCAACCAATGGCCTCACATTAGCCCAAAACAATAAGCATGCTTAACAGGAGAAAGAGCTGAGTGGCTCTGTGAGCAGGAAGGCTGAGTGAGGGCGTCATTCCAAAAACTGAACAAGACTTGACACACGTGCTTGAAGGGGAAGGCCAGGCGCCATCTGGTGCTGCGTATCCCAGAAAAGCAGCAACAGACTGCAGCATGTGTCCGTGTGTGTGTTTGCACACGTGTGTGAGCGTGCATGCATGTCTTGTGACTTCCTGTACAACCACCACGAGAAACGTTTTCAAACTAAACAATTCACAAAAAGAGGAAATTATGCAAAATACCCCTTCCAGTAACACTGTCACATAGCATTGGATTTTGTTTCTCCTCACTTGAAACAGTCAGGAGAGGTACATTTTATGCTAAAGTTAGAGTATTATTCAAGCTGGACACAGCCCGATCACAGGGAGAATACATATGCCCCCAAAGAGAAACACCCGAAGAACACACAGCATTTCGAAAGCCAGTCTGTGAAGCAGCGCGCCCTCCAAGTGGTGGTGGCCAAGCACCAACTCCCTGCCACCAGAAAGCTGACCTTGCCTCTGGCTGACACGAAAAGCAACACGAGAGGCCCGGGTCCAGACACAGAGCGAGGTGCTACTCAACGTGAAGCTTTATAAAGGTTAGTTTCAGGCTGTTACAGACAATCTAAGCGAACGGGTACGTCCCTTTCCTTATAAACACACACAGCGCATCTGTTCTTGGAATGAATTCAGTCCCATGAAAGCTGAGCATCTTCAGCATTTTTTTTGAAGTATGAAAAAGTTATAGATGGACAGCCACTCAAAATGGAACATCAGCTGAAGCACAACAGCAGTTTTAACCCCAAACTGCTGGGAGAAATCAAGTAAGATGCTGCACCCTTGATCACCACGCTGCACCACAGCCGCCCTCCCTGAGCTAGACTTGTCCCCGAGGACGGGGACCACAGAGATGAAAGAAGTGGCAGAGAAGTCCTAGTAAAGGTCGTAACAATCTGGTAAGGATGACAGAAGAGCCCACCAGCAGGAAATGTGGTGATCCTAGGTCACCTGTGAGAAGGGTGCCTGGTTCAACGCTGTTCAGTAAAGCTGATGAATGTGCAGGTGATTTGACAACACCCGTATCTTAAGCATGAATCCCAGTAAAGAGAAGTTTTAAACACTGAGACTATGGTGCTGATCTATTTTGAAATGTTTAAATATCTATAAAGTCAAAGAGCTGTTGAGTTTTACTAAGTAAAAGATACAGATTTCTTAAAGCCAAAACAACATGTCAAAAATTACATTTTAATGCCTTTGGCATGAATCTGGTCCTTTTCGTCACCATAAATATTTGTTTGGGTATTTTTTTTGATGGAATATAATAAATACAATTAAAATTCTCAGAAAAGCCTTCAACGGAAACACACGCCAAGTGCTTGGGTTTCTGCACCCACATACTGATTATGCTTGGAAGCACCTGACCACTTGCTGACCACTGAACCAAAGGCTGACCCAGAGTGCGGAGGCAGGAGGCGTGCGGGAGCCCTTACAGTATGAGACGGCACAGAGTGAGGCTTGATGGTGGGGTTTCCCACAGACGTGACCTTCGTTTGCTTCTGCAGGTGGTCCACCCACTCGTGGAGGTCCTGCTGGTTGTTGCAGGACACCAAGATCCGCTCAATCATGCTCCCTGGAAGAGACACAGCTCAGGCTGAAACGGGGAAATGGGTGGAGCGAGCACCCATGCACGCGCCCCCGGGGATGACTCAACGACGCTTCGACACCAGCCTAGAGAGAGCCAGGCAGAGGCTGCACACAGCCAGGGCACTGCCTCTTGCCCGACAGCGTGGCAGGTGGCCCCCACGAAGTCTGAGCCTTCTTCACCTGCTATTTCAAACGCGTTTCTATGATTTTCACTGTCCTCAAGCTTTGTGATCGTCATTCCTGTCGTTGGCAGCTTTCCCTAAAAAAGACCCCCCCCCGAAAAAAGTTAGTGCTTTCTAGGAAAGAAGGTACCCTTTCTAAAGTAAATATTAAATGCTTTTAGAAATGGCAGAGGAACTATCTGTAAACCAAAAACACTCTTGTTTGTACCAGATGCACGTATAATACGAACACCTCTACCTCAAATAAGAAATAAGTCACTACAGTTAAGAAACTGAGCCGGCAAAGAGGTACAGGGCAGCAAACTAGAACAAAAATAAACTTCATCTGATGAGTTACTCTACACATAAACAGCAGAACATAAAAACATTACACATTATGATCTAAAAAACCCTATGCCTACAGTAGCTGTTTTAAAGGATGTTGTTTGTGGAAAGGAGGCACAGCTCTGCCTGAAAGAAACGCAGAGGAAGGAGGGAAAATGAGAGGGGAACTGGAGCAAGAGGACTTATGCAACAGTGGCATGTGGTCGTCCACCAGACAGGAAGTCAACAGGTGTGCTGAGCACCGCACAAAATGCAGAAAACCGCAGGCAACCGCCCGCTCCGAAAACGGGGGGCTCGGGAAGGGGAGCAGGAAGTGTCCAGGAAGAGAGATCCTGCGTGGGCTGCTCATAGGCCACCACAAACAGGGCAGAACTAAAACCAAGGCAGCAGACACACCACCCAGCCTTGAGGGAAAGTCTCCCAGGGCCTGGGCTCTGACATCTACCAGGAGAGCACGAGGCCGTCCCCCCGCACAGGCACCATCCAGCCCCGAGGACAACAGGGCTGAGAAGCCTGTCCTGAAGGTCAGAGGTGGGACAACGGACAGCAGCTGGCCCGCTGTGGTCAGATGCGGGACACTGCATACGCCTCCCCAGGAGCCCTGAGGCACAGAGGTGACCCTACAGAGAACAGAGCTGCATGACTGCGTGTGACCCAGCAGCAGCACCACCAGAGGACAGGGTGTGCAGTCGTGGCTGGGTTCAGTGCTCTCTGATGTCCTTTAAGGCCAGAAAGAATGCTGGCAACACATGGACCATGTGTCACAGCACTGGAGAGAAACTGCCCAGGAAACTGTGCGCCGGGTGGGAAACAGGGCCCTGCCCATGGCACGAGGGGCCTGGGCCTGCCCCAGACTGGCACCCTCGGTTCCCTCGGTCAGCAGGGCCCTGGCTCAGCCTCCCGGGGTGCAGAGCAGAAAGGCAGGGAGCACCACCTGGAAAGGCCTCCGCATTTCGCTCTCCGGGGTCACCGAGGCAGCAGGAGCTGCCAGCTGGCGGGACCCAGGTCGGTCTCACAGACTGAGAGGCCCCTCTCTGGGCCCGCCCACGTGTCACAGGGGCTGCCCTGTCAGTACTGGAGGCCCTTCCGGAGTAACTGAGTGAGGACAGAGCCTCTCGGGCAGCACAGCTTTCCAGGCAAGTACCAGCAAGCACGGGCCCTCTGGACTCAGGACCCACGAGCGCTCCCGTCGGGGATGATGCAGACGAGGCGCCACAGCAAGTGTGGCGGCTGGCTGGT